GAAATAAGTTCTACCTCAAGACAATGCTGCCGAATAGAAGAAGAACATCCAGACCAGCAATTACTTTTTTCAAGCTTTCTAGTTATTGAAGAGGAACTGGAAACCATAAGGCAAGAAAAAGAGAACAGATTAAATCATGCAGACTTTTATTAGGCAGATAAAAGGTGGTTTCCTAATAAAAGTCTTAGGAACTATGGGAAACTAAGGGCTTCTGGAATGATCAAAGAAGAACTGATAATAGAAAAGGCACTTCTGCTCCAAGAAGAATAAACTATTGTGCTGCAAATTATGGAGACTGAACTTGTTAAAGAAGATTCATGCAGTGACACTTTGGCACTGAATAATGAAAAATAGGGTCATGTGACATATGGATTGGCCAAGAGAGCATGCTCCAGATGCTCCACATGTTTGGAATAGCAAAAAGGAAATGCCAAAGAACTAATGGCACTTTGAAGCATCTGTGATTGGCCATAGCAGCAAACTGTAATAAATCAGGTTCCAAAGACAGCAAAATTCTACTTACTCCGTGTAAAATATTACAGCAGAAAGTATTGAGTTATGAAGCCCAAGGCAAACAATAAAAGTCAACTCTTCTGAGCTGAGTTTACCAAGGGATAGGATATGTGATAATATGTTCTCTGATGGTTTACTGCCTCTGTTGCCAGAAATATATTGACAATGCATATTAACTCTAGCTGGTTTAATTGAATTTTTTATGCAGTGTGAGCAGTCAGTTGGTATGCAGCAATGTCTTGTGTTGTTCACCTATGACAGTTGGATTAGGGGTACAGATATTTGCTGATTTCATCCTTGTCCCCCCCCCCCCAGGTTTATCCCCACTGTATGAGATCACATTACCTTTTGCTTATTTTCTTGAAAAACCCACTTGCATGAAAAAATAGTTGTTTAAACAAATGGGAGTCAGAACTACTTGTTAAGTGACTGCAAGCCAACCAGAGATCTGTTAGGAGATCCATGTCTGTTCTACCTTCTTCTGCTCTGGAACAGCAAAACATAAAATTATTATTTTCTGTATTTGAAGATGGCTATCATATTTCCTATTGTCTGGTTTGTATTTTGTGAGCAAAAGGAAACTTTTCCAGTGCGCAGATAACTAGTTTTGCATCTGTTTTCAACTGTTTGGTATTGGCTTAGTACATAGCCTAGATTTATAACTCCTTCTGTAAAACAAGATTTCAGTTTTTACTTTCTTAAATTATACAGTTCTGGATTCACCAACTTCATGCCCTTTTCCAAGCTCAGCATCCAAGCCCAGAAATTGTTGAAAATTCCCTAATACTAGTTCTTGGCAATGAATTGCACTCACATGTTAGGGTGCGTCTACCATTCATATTTAATGGATTGTGATATTTTCTCAAGCCTGGATTGATCATTTCTAAATTGAGCTCATTTGCTAGCACTTCTTGTTTCATTTTTAGAGATCTGCAGTCAATTTGGGATCCAATGTCTAATTTAAATTGAACACTTTTTTTGCTCTGCTAACACTTTTGAAAATAAAGGCCTTGCTGGCTGGGAATGCTAGGGATTGTAGTCCAAAAAGTAACTTTTCCAAAGTGCTGTTATAACAACAAATAGTAATAACCTGCATTTTTTTAAAAAAGAAGAGGAAGTTTTTTTAAGCAAGCATAAAGGGATCCAGTAACAGTTTTCATACTGGATTGTTGTAGATTTTTCGGGCTATATGGCCATGTTCTAGAAGCATTCTCTCCTGTTTCACCTGCATCTATTGCAAGCATCCTCAGAGGTTGTGAGGTCTTCATACTAAATAGTTTATTGTAGTATAAAGCTTTGTGAGCTGGGTTGTTGTAGGTTTTTTGGACTGTATGGCCATGTTCTAGAAGCATTCTCTCCTGGCGTTTCACCTGCATCTATGGCAAGCATCCTCAGAGGTTGTGAGGTCTTCTTACTAACTGGTTTATTGTAGTATAAAGCTTTGTGAGCTGGGTTGTTGTAGGTTTTCCGGGCTGTATGGTCATGTTCTAGAAGCATTATCTTCTGGCGTTTCACCTGCATCTACGGCAAGCATTCTCAGAGGTTGTGAGGTCTTCATACTAACTGGTTTATTGTAGTATAAAGCTTTGTGAGCTGAGTTGTTGTAGGTTTTTCGGGCTGTATGGCCATGTTCTAGAAGCATTATCTCCTAGCGTTTTACCTGCATCTACGGCAAGCATCCTCAGAGGTTGTGAGGTCTGTTGGAAACTAGGAAAATTGGGTTTATATATCTGTGGAAAGTCCAGGGTGGGAGAAAGAACTCTTGTCTATTGGAGGTAAGTGTGAATGTGTCATAAGTCAAAGTGGACTTGGTGGCAGTTGCAATAACATGCAACTACAGGCATACATTATTTTACGTAGAAATTGAGTATAGCACTTGTCCTCCATTTCTATTTGAATTATAAAATAGAATATATACCTATATTTGCAGTCATTCAACACCATGGAGAAGATTTGGCACTGCAAAATCCTAGAAGTAATGGCCAGTGATGTTTACTTGTAAATGGATTTATGATTATATGGTAATTTAAACAGTGATTGTTTTTCTGGTCTGTGGTTTCCAAGTATGTAAATATAACAGTAAATTAAGTAGTGCCATTAGTTGGTTTTGGAGCATTTATGTTATGAAAGGTAAATACTTTCAGTGAGTTTTCAAAGGGGAAATTGCATGTAGAGCAAGTTGTTCAATCAATTCTGCTTCAGACAATTCTTGTTTGCAAGAAAATAACTTTATGCCTGAAGCTAGGAGGAGGGATGAAGGTGAGATGGATGGAAGAATTTTTATAGAGCCTGTGTATAGTCATCAAAGTGTGGTTTTGCACTGGAAGTTTTACAATCACCCACTTGATAGAGCCTAAAGCAAATATGTATTTAGTTTCAAATAATCTCCATAGTAAATTATATTTTGATTGGACTTGTGTTGGATAAAAATAGAATATTATGAAAGGAAGAAAAAAGTAGGCTTTAAAAAACCTTTTACATTGAGTTAACTTGACTGGAGGCAAGTTCTTAAATTATACAACTGGAAGGTACAACAAATGGAGCTCAGATTACTTTTGATTTCAGGTAGATAATCTTCACAAGAACACAATCATTAGCATTCTACACAATTGCTTGTTAATTTTAGAGTATGGTAAACATTGAAGAAAAGCCCCAGAAACTTTCAGAGAAGTTGTATTTGAATCAGAGACCTGCCAGCAATGTACAGTAAATTTCAGGGACTGAAACAGCAAGAAAGGATGTGATCTCTGGGCATGCAAAAAAGTGTATTTCCCTCACTACTGAATAACTTGGCTTCTGCACTTGTACCGAGAACAAGGGGCTAGTGCAGAATGTAGGCATCCCTGTATTTCTTTGCAGCTGATATCCATAAAAAATATACAGAGTGTTTCTTGTCTAGAATTCCAAAAATTGAAATACTCCAAAATTCAAAATGGTTCACATGGGTGGTGGCTGAGATGGTGACACCTTTGTTTTCTGATGATTCAGTGTACACAATTATTTAAAATATTATGTACAAAATTATCTTCAGGCTGTGTGCATACATTATTTAGGAAACATAAATGAATTTTGTGTCCAGACTTGAGTCTCATCTTCATGGTAGTGTGTGTGTGTGTGTGCGTGTGTGTGTGTGGACACGCAAATGCAGGTATCCAATAAACCCAACAAATAATTAAATTCAAAATCCCAAACACTTCTGGTACCCGGCACTTCAGATGAGGGATACTCAACCTGTAGTTGGAACAATCCTCCCCACTGCGGCATTGTTCCAGAAGATTTCATAGTACTCCAGGGTGAAATGCCCTAATGGCCCTTTCCTGTTGTTAGACAGAGGCTGGTTTTATTTCAGTAGGGCCTTACAAAATTACGTGAAACCCCTAAAGAGAAGGTGTTATGACTGGAGTTGCAGGCTTACTACAGCAGGAATAGACCAAAGACTCCTCTGATATGTCACAGGAAAAGCTAGGCTTGAAAGACAGCACAGCAGGAGATATCAAGATATCAAAGAGGGATGTCAAGCTTGGGAGAAATTTGGACAAAATGTCCTCAGCCCCTGTCTGAATCCACTGTAATGTAACCATAAGTAAGAGAGACAAGGAATGGCATTGCTGCCTAGTAAAAATGAGGAAACGAAGATAATGGTGCAAATGGAGTGGTCAGGGCTCCTGTGTTGCTCCTGGAACACGCATGCTTCTTGTCCTCTGTGATACTGAAAAGTGAGAAAAGTTCCTGAGGAGAGAGAAAAGTTGTAGATTCTTTCTGCCTTCCCTCCCAAATGGTTGATTGCTTTTATTGTCCACCCTGGTTCATTTTCCAGCTGTGGAGCGATACTAGAGCGGAGGTGACTGTTGCATTGTCATTGTCTCGATAGTCTCAGCCTGGGTGATGCCATCAGGTGCCCAACAAAGGGGGTACACCCCCTACTTCAAGCCTGGAAGGGGCTGGCTGTGCCTTCAGGGAAGTCTCTTTTTGACCACACATAATAACCAAGCCTAATGTGCCACAACACAAAACCAGTCCACTTCCTTCTCTGAAGGACAGCTCACATTTGTGCAAAGAAATGGGCTGGTGAGGAATTAATTCTTGATTTATGTTTCCCCACATGCCATTTGATCTTGGAAGCTAAGATGGAAAATATCAGGTTACTTGTATGGGTAACTACTATTGAATACCAGGTCCTGTACACTATATTTCAGAGGAAGGAACTGGCAACATCTTCTCTGATTATTATTTGCATAAGAAAACCCTATGATTTACGGAGGGGGGGGGGCATAAGCCCACCGACAATTTGAAGACACATACACACAGAGAGAATTCTATTTGATTCATCTAGCCTTGACTTTTCTCCACTGTCTGTCAAACCTTTGCCTGTAAAATGAACGACACTTAGAGCTTCAGAAATCCCCTTCTCTGGGTACTCTTTGTAGCTCAGCTGCCTGAGGGTCAATCTTCATTTGTCTCCCTTTGTGCTTTTACATTTTTTTAAGAGAAGGACGTGCCAAGCAGACCTTTACGATTTCGCGTCAGATCGTCACCTTCATCGCCTGACAGATCACCTCTTCGTTGGAGGCTACCTCAATATTCAGGGTCAAGGATCCCCGGCAGATATCCAGGTTACCTCTCCCGATATGGGGAAAGCAGCAGAAAGATGAGCTATAAACCACTACCTAAAGAAAGAAGCCATGACATTAAAAAACTAGGTAAGCTATTTTTTTTACTGATGCTAGATCTGCCCATCCATTTTGTGTCACATATAATACTGTAAATTTGAATTGCTTTGGGACAAATAATTTACTCTGTTCTTTTTCCCTGGTCATTTGGCTCAGTGAGGTATTTCATTCATTAGAACTGATTGACAAATATGAGTGAAATCAAATTTATATCTGGGATTTAACTATACTTACCATAAACTGCAAGGACAGTTTGTAATAAGTCTAGTGAGAATTGGCATATACTATGAGAGCACATGGACCAAACAATATTGGGTTGGAAATATTACATAGGAAGAGCATGAAGACATATTGGTAGATAAACTGCGGTAACTTTGTTCGAAGAAGAATCCTACTATTTTTGCAATGCTGCCTCTCTATTGAGCATTCATGATCCTAGTTTCACATGACTTCAAGATTATTTCAGTTGAGATTCAATTTGGCAACATTAGTCAAACTGCTAGTTTTAATTGGGTTATGGACAGATCTGTCAACTAACACTTTAGTCTTACTGTGATCCTGTAACCATTACAGCATGCTTGTGATATATTATGTTGCAGTTGCTCACTTCTGATCTCAAAAAATGAAATGTAACACAAGCCAAAAAATAGAAAACATCTCTTAGAAGTTGATGGGTATTTACTATGGCTGGTGGTACACTGATTGATACTTCTTGATATCTAAACGGAGACTGAAAACGGAACACAGATTAATTTCCATATAAACAATGCAGGGAATTCAGCTGTTGCTTGTTGGCCTTGAAGATAGGGCCAGGAATGACAAATGAGGTCAGAGTCTCCATCCTGCAATACAGTGGGAGAAACAAGTGGTAGGAAGTGAAAACTAGAGTCTGTTTCTCAACCTCTAACTTCAGAGTGAGGGTGCTGCAAATTCATCAGTGCATGTCAGAACTTGCAAGATAGGGAATTTTGGGTTATTGTAGGTTTTTTTTTGGGCTATATGGCCTTGTTCTAGAGCAGTGGTTCTCAACCTGTGGGTCCCCAGGTGTTTTGGCCTACAACTCCCAGAAATGCCAGACAGTTTACCAGCTGTTAGGATTTCTGGGAGTTGAAGGCCAAAAACATCTGGGGACCCCTGGTTGAGAACCATTGTTCTAGAAGAATGCTTGCCATAGATGAGAATGCCTCTAGAACATGGCCATATAGCCCGAAAAAACCTACAACAACCCAGTGATTCCAGCCATGAAAGCCTTCAACAATACATAGGGAATTTTGCCCTGAAGGAAGGAAATATTCATCAGTCTAATCATAAAAAGTAAAATTCACCTTAGCTCTAGTATAGCTAGTAATGAAATTATCATATGGTATAGCCTTAAACTCTCTGATTTAATTTGTCACTGGAATAAGTATAAAATCCTGGTTGCTTAGAGAGGAATTAGTAACAGGTGGCGTAAGATAGGAAGCAGATATTCTGCTTCTAGCCGGCTGCTTTATAAAGCATTGTGTCAATGCTTGTTGAGTATTTTATCTTGGCTTTGGCTCACAGCTCCAGCCCACAGGAAAACATGCTAGGGACTTGAGGGAAGGAGGTATATGGACTGAAGAAACCAACGATTTCTAAGAAAAAAGGACCAAGGTTCTTCTTAAAATAGATACTAACAAGAATAGGAAGAGAACAAGTGCTGTAGAATAGAGCAAAGTCCTGCCTACTACGGCATCATATTCACATGGTAGCTAAGCATTTGCCTGTTGGAATTGCTCAAACAGAACAGAAGTGTACTACTATCATTCCTGTTCATGTTTCTGATACCCAGAATTCTACTTCCTCTTGTAATGGAGAATATGTATCTATCATCACTACTAACCACTGGTAGCACTATTCTCCCTCAATTTATCTGTCCCACATAATAAGTTGATGCACTCATTCTTATCATATACATCCATATATAAGTTAATTTCATGAGCAGGTTTTGGGCCAAAATTAAGTATTTTGATATGACTCATGGAAAAATCGAAAGTCATTCTGCAGAGACGGGAAGCACCAATGCTGCCACAAGAGGCTGGCTGTCTCTGGTCACCACTACTTCCTCACCCAGACATCCAAAAGCCTAGAAGCAGCACAATGGCCAGAAGAATGGAGGGAATTGGTCCTTCTTTTAGTTTCTTCCAGGATGGACTAAGGTTTTGCCTTACTCCATGCTTACTCAGTGAAGGGAACAGTCCCTTTCTGATATGAGCAGTACTCACATTAACCTGTGAATAAGTTGACCCAGGTTTTGGGAGATTAATTTTTAGACTACAATTTCTAGATCTAAACATGAATATGTAGGGTATATCTCCTGGAACCAATTTCATTGTTTAGCTCAGTAGTTCCCAACCTGTGGTCCATGGACCACCAGTGATTCACAAGAATTAAAATGTGGTCCGTGGTTTCACCATTACTACACCATTACAGCAAGAGCGAATGGTCTTGCAAACCCCTCTTATAATGCCGAGGTTTATTGAATATGGTTTTCTGTGGGTGAGCAGAGGGCAACTACTGGATGGCATATGTTTTGTATCTGAAACTAGAGCTGATGGTCTATCCAATGCAATTTTCTGAATCAGCACCCCAGATAACCAAACTGAATCTAAAGTTGATCAAAAACCGATTTGTAACTCTTTTGGTACTAATGTTGGAGAGTGGCTCCTGGTTAAAGTGCTCCTTGGTCAAGTAGTCCCTAGTCAAAAAAAAGTTTGGGAACCACTGGTTTAGCTGCATGCTGTGTGAAGCAGGAGAAGAGATAGGCACAACTCTATCATACCTAGGCCTAGAAAACAGATGAAAACCCTCCCTTCATCCAAGACGCCATTGTCTTGAGCTGGGATGGGCAGAGAAAAAGAGGCAAGCATAGCTTCATGTGTCTTGTCAAATGACAGATGAAAGGCATTGGATGGAGAGAAAAACCTGCAGTATTGGCTGGACCTAATCCCCTTTCCCCACTACTCTTCACTTTCCTTGTTTGTCTTTTAGATTGTGAGGATGGTGCTACCAGAGGTTAGTTAGTAGAGCAACGAACTGTCAAAACTGTAAGCCCGCTGAGAGACTATTGTGGCAAAAGAGCAGGATATAAATACTCTAAACACTTTTTACTGTTCTGGATCTCCCTGTGTTTGGCTGCAGTGGACAAACTTTGTTTTAGAATCATGTGTACAGGGGCAAAGCTTTTCCCTGTCTACTATTTCCATACCACAATATGTTTTTTATCATGTCCCTTATTTGCTCCCCACTAAATTAAACTAAAGAGCCCCAAATCTTCACAGGGAAGTTAGTTAGACTTTTGGTCATTTAGCACCTCCTTTCTGCACCTGTTACGACTTTCGATTATCTTAATATGTTGTATGATGTCCCAAGTCTCATTATCGGCTTGCTTTTCTTGGCAGAAGATGAATTGGAGGAGGTAAAGGACATCACTGTGCGTGTTATGTCATCTCAGTCAGTGCTGGTTACATGGACAGATCCTATCTATGAGAAACAGAGGAGAGCTGCAACCCCCAGGTAGGTTGGCATTATGTTAGCTGTTATGTGGGTGTAATTGTCTCAGGGGTGAGCAATTGTTGTATGCTACCATTGAAGCACCTGAATAAGGCTATAGCTTCTATTTTCCCCTCAACCCTCAATAATTTGTCTAGCACATGGATGGGCTTATGTAGATGAAGACTGTTGTTTTGTGCATTATTTGTTGTGATTGTGTTTAATCACAGCTCTCTCTATACTATTTCTAGGCAGTACGCTGTTCGTTACAGAGAGAAAGGAGAATCAGCAAGGTGGGATTACAAGCAAATACATAACAGACGGGTGTTGGTGGATAAACTAATTCCAGATACCATGTATGAATTTGCAGTGCAAATTTCACAGGGAGAAACAGAAGGCAAGTGGAGTGCTTCAGTTTACCAAAGGACCCCAGAATCTGGTAAGTACTGTATTACACTTTTCTAATCTATATCAGTGTTTCTCAACCTTCCTAATGCCGTGACCCCTTAATACAGTTCCTCATGTTGTGGTGACCCAATCAAAGAGCATTCTGAACCCCGCCAATGATAGAATTGGGCCAAACTTCCCACACAGACCCCCCATGTCTTGAAGGGACTCGCTGGTATGAGCCTCCCTCCAGCCTTTCATGCTCTCCCTCACCCACACATGTGCACCATGCTGCCGTGCGCTGAGCATACCTGTTGACCTCTCCCCACTTGCAGTCTCAGAAACAGCCCTCCCCTTGGCTGAGAGGCTGGCTGAGAGGGCAGCCAATCACAACAGAGGAGGGCTTTTAATGGGAGGATCCGCCGTCTGTTTTCAAAAAGGAAGAGAAGGACAGGCGAAAAGATCTTCAGCCTTTTCTACCAAAGGGATTCCTAATATGTTTTCTGATGATCTTTGGTGACCCCCCCCCCCAAGTATCCTGACCCACAGGCTGAGAAATGCTGATCTATATGATTCATTAGCCCTGCCTTTTGCCTCACAGGAGCACAGAATCCCACTACAACAAAAAGCTGGGCAACAAAATCTATGAAAGTTTTAAGGAGGGAGCACATCTCTCAGAACTTCATAGACACAGTGATACTATAGAACGGGGTCACCAAACTAAAGCCTGCAGGCCAGATGCTGCCTTCCAAGGCCATTTACCCACCCCCATCCTAAAATTTAGACAGGGTTACCCTGAGTCTGAAAGAATTTGAAGGCACACAACAACAATCCTAATCAACTTGACTATCTCATCAGCTAAAAGTAGGCCCACACTACCCATTAAAATGCTGGTAAGTTTATGTTGCCTAAAATTGTTCTTTACTATAAATATTGTATTGTGCTTTCACTACAAATAAGATACAGGTGTGTGCAGTATGCATAGGAATTTGTTCTTTTTTTCAAACTATACCCCCTCTTCCCATTTGAAAACCCCTGCTATAGAAGTTATAATAAAAAGAAGAAGAAATTTTCCCAGATCCAAAAGAAAGAAAGAAAAACTGTAGATTTTAGTCCAAACTCATTAAGTATTGACAATCACTGTTTTCTCTGGTCTCCTGTATATTTCAACAGCTCCCACTAGTGCACCAGAAAATCTGAATGTTTGGCCAATAAAAGGTGAAACTCCTTCAGTTGCTGCTACTTGGGATGCTCTTTCAGAAAGTGAAGGAAAGGTGAAAGGTAGGTGGTGAACTTGGAAAACTACATTTCAGGCTAGATAGATCTTCTGAACAAAATAGTGCTACAAAGTACATTTGTACTTCTGATGTGGGTTAATAGCTGGAATCCAAAGGATGAAGTGTTTTCAAACCTTGGAAAAGTTGCCTTTTTTGAATACAGCTTCCAGAATCTTCAAGCTGGCATGATCAGTAACCATTCTGACTGAGAGATTCTGGGGGTTGTAACACAAAAAGTAACTTTGCCAAGCTTTAGATATTTCAGCCTCATAATCCTATTATTTTTAGTAGTCTGCGGTGGCAAGCCAAAATTCTTACAACTTCTATTAGGCTATTTACAACGTGGAATGGCAAAAAATATTTTTAAGTTGTAGTATTAGATGACAATATCTGACTTGTAAAATGGTAAGTGAAATCTACATTTTTGAAAGACCCCTGTGCATTGTTTTTGCCAATTTGTTGATATCCAAAATCGCAATAATACAAGTTATTTCCCTTATCCAGAAATCTGAAATACTCTTTTTCTCCCCCTGCTAGGAGCACATTTTTTGCTTGGGGGAAAGGGGAGCTAGTCATACATTCAGAGCCCTTCAATGGATGGTATGGGGGTATGGAAGGCACTCTGAAAATGGGCCACAAGGATGAGAACAGAGTAACTCCATTGGTTGGTAGCTATATCCAGCCTAGAGAAAATGAAAAATACTCATGGATTTGGGGATTTTCCCTACTACTGTGCTAAAAGGGAAGAAAGCATGCTGATACTTGGGGAAGCATTTGGAATGTCTGCTTCTTGTGTGGGCCTTGTGTAAGCAGAGTCCTTTCCACTTTCCCGCTTATCTTTCCCCATCAGGGCTACTTCAGGAATAACTCAATGGCACTGGATGTGTGACTAGTCTTCCTCCCCCAGTCCATCATTCTCTCAGTATATTCAGATACAGGCATTCTGAAATCTGAAAAAGAATCCAAATTCTGAAAAACTTCTGGTCCCAAGCATTTTGGATAAGGGAGACGCATTGTATGAGTTGTAAAATAATGGGTGAGAAAGTCTGGGGTATTTATTTAAATATTGGATATTTGTGTTTTAAAATTTGATTAAATGTTTGTACTGAACTCAATTTGCTACATAGATAAACAATGTCTTTTATACCCCAGCTGTTGACTTGACGTGCATTGCCAATGTATTAATTTTAGTAATGCACGTTCTAATTCATCCTACCCATACAGTCTGTCCGTTGGAAACAGGATTGTTTTCAGTTTCCTCCTTCCAACCGTCTGCCAAATCATTTCAGAATACATTCTCTCATACGCCCCCGCTCTCAAACCCTTCGGAGCAAAGTCCATTTCCTACCCAGGAGACACCACGTCTGCCCTTGTGGATGACCTGCAGCCCGGAGAGCGCTATATTTTCAAAATCCGTGCAGCAAACAGGAGGGGCCAAGGCCCTCAGTCAAAAGCCTTCAGTGTTGTTTTGCCAACAGGTAAGCATAGAGTCTGCACTGCTCAGCCTCTTTCCTTGTGTTTTCTGTATTTTATTAATATTGATTGATTAATTGGGAGCAGCGCCTTTCTGTTTTGAGGCTTCTCCAATTTAGGTGTGAGCATCTTGCATGCAAGAATAATAATCTAAGACAGGGTGAACAACCTTGACCTAGGCTATTTGCAGTCCTCAGCTTTATTTCACAACTTTTCTTTATGTAGTTAATTTAAATCTCTGAGAAAAATGGTGAGAAAAGGGTAGAAAGATTATTTGAAGGAACATATCTCCTTTATGAGCCCATTAGGGCTCTAAGACCACCTAGAGGGGTTCTTCTCTTTGTTCCACCACCTTCCCAGACAAGACAGAGGGCCTTTTTGGTGACTGCTCCCAGACTTTAGAACTCCCTCCCTAGGGTGACCATAATGACCTCATCTTTCTTTCTTTCCTTCCAGTGACATTTCTGTTCTGTCAGACCTTTACAAATCGATGGGGGTTGAGCTGTAACTGTTGTATGGGACTTGTCTGAATATTTTCTTAATAGTTTTTATGTAGTTTTGATTTTTTTTAGTATTTTTATGTTTTGAGAAGTTGATTTATATATATATATTCTGATCTGTGTATTGCTTTTGCCCTGTATTATTTTTAACATGTTGTTGCCTGCCCTGAATCCCTTTAACAGGAGAAGGGCTGTATGCAAATGAAGATAATAATAAACAGATAAGGGTGTGTAGACAGAAAAAAAATGCATGAATCATTTTTATTTAGGCCTCATTGGCTCTCATACTGGTGACTTAGACCTTGGCAACTACTGAGGCATGGGTCTGGGAAAGGAGATATCTGCAAGAGAAATGACAGTCTTTATAGGGAAAAAAAGTTTCCCAGTTCTTTAGACCAAGTTCACAGTTTTTTAAAAAAAGAAAATACAATTCTGAAAAGTCTAAATGGTCAGGGGTTTCTGGAAGTTGTAACTTTCCCAAGTTGATGTTTTAAGGTATCGTATATAACATATGTGTAAAGATGTTTGGGATTTTTCACTTGATATCCAAGGTTTTATTTGCTTCCGCTTAAGACAGTCACAAAATAAATTGCTACTTGCTCTTCAATAACAGAAGAACTATTTCAACTTTGTACAATTTGGCTGAAATATAGAAAGATTTGGTGGCAAATTGGCTGTTTTAGCAAACAGTGCAATAATAGTTTATCTCAAAACTTTTCAAAATCTTCTGCTGTGTGTTTTGATATCTCATTGTCGAAACTTTCACCAAGCAACTTTATTTCACAATAGTTTGTAATAAGCAAATGTTTATAACATGCCATGCTTGATTTTTGGCAAAATCAGAATCATTTCTGAAGCCTTCAACTTTTTGCTTACCTTTAACATGCTCAGGTTTAGGATAGTTGTGAATATTCATTTCAGTTTTTGATTCCATTAATCTATGCAGAAAGGTGATATAGTCAGGCTAGATACCATGAATGTGGTTTTTCTTTTGGACATAATTTCATCAATGGATTTAACTGGCTATATGTACATTTCATTAGATGGTTTCCTCTTCTTTCTTCTCTTCTTGCTTTTATAGATTTCTTTGCCAATGTCTCTCTGTTTCTCTGATTTTAATTGTACAGATGGAGCAACAGTTGATCAGCAAACAAATACTGAAGAAGATTCAGAACCAAGAATGTCTTCTTCCTCATCTGAAACTCTCTCACCAGGCTCTTCCTTTAAGGGTACTTCTGCTCATCCATCCAGTTTTCCTGGTGGCAGAGACTCAAAAGGTTCCATATCTGATCTAAAAAACAAAATCCTAGCTGGTAATCGAGCTCTTACAAAATCCCAGCCATCTTCTGGAAAGGGAGCAGCAGTGAACACCGAGAGACACTCCTCAAAAGACACTGCTGACCATGATTCTGTCCAAGAAACATCAACAGTGCATCCAAGAATTCAGGATATGAAGAGTGGTGTTAAATCCCATTCCCCCTTGAAACCATCACATGCTATTAGTTCCTCAGGGAAAATTCCTCTTAGGTCACGTACACCACTAAGGACAGGGAAGCCAATTATTGATCATCAAAAGTCATCCTCCCCTCAATCATCATCATCATCATCATCTTCCATTCCTAAATATACAGAAAATGAAACAAAGAATCTCAGAGAGGACAGATCGAATGTTCCTTCTTCATCTGAAGCCACCTTAGATAGTCTGCCTGTTGATAATGAAAGTCATGATCAGGTTGACAGTGCAGAGGAAAAGGCAGTTGTGATTCCTAAAACTCTAGGAAATAGTCATTTCCGTTCAAATCAGCAGCCTTCTGCATCTCGGAAGGTAGTTCATAGTAGGCCCACAAATTCCAAGCATCCTTCCTATCAACTGGTTCCCTCTGATACTACTGATACACTTGAGATTTATAAAAACAAAGAGTCAGAAAAAAGAGAGCAAAAGCCAGGCTCAAGGCCTGTTTCTCCTCAGGGTGGTTCTTCTGCATCTGTGAATACAAAGCCTTTGTCCCATTCTAGTCGTCAGAGAGATCCAAGAATAGCAACCTCAGCAGTTTCTGCTGCCGTTACCCATACTTTACCACATTCATATGGTTCCTCTTCTGCTAAACGTAAGCCCAATGGAAGATATGATTCTAATGATAATGGTCGTGACAGTAGTGAAAGAGATGAAGATGAAGAAAACCATCGAGGTTCATCATTTTCTAGACCCAATTCTAGGACTTCTTCAAGCCAGGCAGTACCTGAACGCTTTGATCTGTCCAAATATAGATCTGCTCATACTATGAATCGATTTGCAAACCAAGCAAGTAATACCAGGACACAATCCTCAAAAGATGTCTCCACAACACAGTCTTCAAAGGTTCACCCTCAGTCCAATTCTCATTTAACATCTGGAAGGGCTAATTCCAATATTGATAAAGAACTGGAAGCTGAAGATGAAAAACCTCTTCCATCAACCCTGTCCCATGGTCATTCACCATCATTTTCTAAACCTTCAGTGGACTACACCAGAAAAAGGGTTCCTCTGGTTGAATCTGGGAACCATCACAGGATTGTGAATGTTGACAATTCTAGTCCTACACCTACACAGGAAGAAAGTTATAGTGAAGGAAAGGAAGCCACAGATAGAGATTCTTCACATAAAAACTCAGGTAGCCAATCTGCTTCACTGAGCAAGCATCGTTCTACTGTGTCTCACAAGTTAACAAATGGTCAGAGTTCAAGGTCCAGAGGAGCATCCCGATTTACTGAATCAATTTCGAGGACCTCTGTGGAGAGATCATCCCCACTTCATACTCCTGCTTCCAAATACCAACCTAATGACCCTGAGAGCAAAGATAAATCTCCACAAGCAAAACTGTCCTCACCTTTATCTAAAGCAACATTAACGGGAGGTTCTCATGCATTGTCCCGTAAAACGCTCCAACCAGAAAACAGCCATTCCTCAAAAACATTAACTGATCAATCACAATCTCAATATTCCTTAAATTCCAGAAACCATCCCACATTAACATCTCTCCAAAGTCAAGAAAAAATAGAAGATGATGAAAATTCTGAAGAAAAGTATTACAAAGAAACAATACATAAGGAGGAACAGGGAAATCCTCATTCAGCAGCTGCCAAAGAAGTTTTTCCATCTAGGCGAACATCTACAATTTTGTCTCAGGGAAGTACCAGTGCTCTTTCAAAGCATTCTGATTCTCACATGAGTAAATCTGGTGAAAGGTCCTCATCTCAGCGTGAGTCTTCACCTTCCTCCAAAAGGTTAAGCTTGTCCCCTGGAAAACCTTCTGGATCAAAGATTATTTCTTCTAGTGAAGACATATCTGATGTATATAAATTGCACACATCTTCCCATCAGTCAAAATATATACAGCCTTCACCTGCCTCCTCAAAAGACACAATCAGGGACCATACATACAACAGAGAAAGATCCTCCTTATCAAAAGTCTCCTCAGCTTCTCGAAAAGAAATCCATCCTTCCATGCCCAATTATCCATCCAGGTCTAAAGTCTCTACTAGGACAGAATCCCAGACAGACAAAAAATATGGACTCATTGAGCCAACCTCTACAAAAGTTGAACTTTCTCCAGAAACATCTTCCTCTAAAACACAACAGTCATTTTCAAGTAACAATAATGAAGATGACTCTGATCAGTTGGAAATAGAGGAAAACCCCACATCATCATCTTCAGCAACAAGGTGGGGATCTTCCTCAGTTTCAAGAGGCAGTAAAAACTTGAACAATTTTGCCAGTGGTAAAAGTAAATCACCAAGTCCTGTTTCAACTCACAAAGCAAAAATTGCTAATAAGGAGGAATATGGGGAAGAGGAAGTAAAAGAGGATGAGGAAAATCCTATTTCCAAAACATCGAATGTGGCACCTTTGGGTAGAACTCCTTTCTTAACTTCCAGGGCTTCTCAGGCTTCCAAAAAAACACATGCTTTGCCACACTCCTCCAGATCTACTTCTGTATTTTCTCATACTCATCCCAGTCATTCTGCTTCTCCAACACATTCTTCAGCTTCCCCCTCAGCATCCTCCAATCAACCAATACAGAACTCAAGATTATCTAACCCTTCTCAACGACAGCAACTTAGATTTCCTCACAGACAAGGTAATGAGCCATTTATATAGATAGATATTTTAAAACCCAATTAAAGTTGTTATCTGTATGTTGCATCCCATCCTGACTGATTTGCAAAAATAATATTTTGTTACAAGACATTCCCAAATATTCTACTAGATCACCAATAGAGAAATACTTTTGTTTCAGAAACATATGACTATGATTTCACTAAGGGTGCATAGACACAGGCAGGAAACTTCAGTCTGGTTTAAAGTATTCCAATTCAGACCAGCTCCATATCCTACCAGGATGTTTACACAGCCCTGTTCCTTAATTGCAGGAATGGTGGGAGCAGAGTCTGCACTGTCCATTTGGGCCAAACCTAGCTTGACCTTGTTTGACAGTCCACATTACCTTGGTGGCCATTCATTGCTATATTGGTGGCCATGGAGCAGCAGAAAGCTCCTAGCTATCCCTTGTTGCCTTTGCCGATAGTACCACATTATTCTGAGAAGGGAGGGGAAAAAGAGGGGTTTGATCCCTCTCCTTTTCCCCTTCTTCTCTTTGAGTTGCATAGGGCCAATTTTCATTCACCCCAAGGTATTTAGCCAATGTAGATGTTCCTGAAGACTCAGATTCCCCTTTAATTTCTTGGGTCATTTCCTCTCTGGATCAAAGGGTGCATCCACACAGTGCATCCACCCGGGCATCCAATTTATGCCTCAGGTAAAAAATGTATTAATACAGAATAAAGCAGGATTTCTGATTTGTGCTGAATTAATTAGGTAGTGGATTAGACCCGGGTCTTCCTGAAAGACCCGGGTCTAATCCAGTAAGGCTGCTGTCCTGGGACTTCCGAAGGATCTGTCTGTACAGCCCTCTTGTGTTTTCTGGGCTCCATGAGCCCGGAAAACCCAGAGGGCTATAACACCCTTCCTCAAACCCCCCAGAAAAGCCTTAAAAACTAAACATTACTTACCTGGCCGCCATTAACCTGATACCAGCCTTTTCCTGGTGCGTAGAAATGGCATACCAGGAGAAGTGGGGAGCAGGAGCGGTTTTCTTCCTTCTCTTCTCCTGACATATCATTTCTATGCACCAGGAGAGGACTGGCCTCAGGGTAATGGTGGCCAGGTAAGTAATTTTTAGTTTTTAAGGCTTTTCTGGGTGGGGGAGGGGGTGTTGCTGTCCTGGTGCCCTGCCGGTTCTTCCAGACACCCCCCCCCCCCAGAAAGTGCAGTGTTTTCTGTTAGTGTGGGGACAGAAGTCCAACCTGACCCGAGTTTTTAAAACCCGGGTCAGACCGGACTTTTGCCCTGTGTGGAATCAGCCTAACAGGAACAGACTGTCTTTTACCTCAGAATTTCTTTAATCCAATGGCTTCCACCCAGGAATATGTTAGCCAAGTGCCTCTCATTTTAAAGATGATCTCTCTGATGTGAAGGTCTAAAAGCTTATCCTTACATGGATTGAATAGTCCCCAGAAATCCCCTGTTTTCGAGTGGGGAATTGATTAGATGATTCCATTTATTTTAAATTTTAATCATAGTTCTCAAGCATGTTTGATGTCATTCAAATGGGTTCAGGGTTGTTGATGCATGCTTAAAAAGAACCAATTTCAAATATTCATAACTTCTTTATGTTGTGTAGTAAGCTTACAATGTAGCTTGTGTTATAAACAATGTGTTCATTTTACCAAGGAATGCATAGCTTGATTAAAAATACTTTTTTTTGGTATTTGGGTAGGCTACAGTCTTCTTAATAGCCACATCATGATTTTCAACTTCATGTGTTGTGAATTTCTGCTGTCTTTTACTGCCATTTCAAAAATCTGGTAACCATACAGGGAAGATGCAGATATTATTAAACATCATCTTCCAGAATCCCTAAAAACTGGCTATGTTTGTTAGATATTGTGGGAGTTGAAATCCAACAACATCTAGAGATCTCCCCAGTTCAGAAGCACTACTCCAGTGTGTTAATTTAGTATGTATGAATTGTTGGGCGAGTGGGCTTATTAACAAAAGACCCTCCTCATAAATGTACAGGGAAGTAATTTATTAGCAGCAGCGCGACCCAGCACCTGTAGCCCAAACTGATAAAAAGAACAAAAATGCACAGACCAATGTTATCTCTTCCATAGGAGGCTTTTCTTTATAGTAAAATAATATGGTTGCACTATTTCCAACAACAAGCTTCCCATAATAAACAGATACTCAGTAGCTTTACATACAGCAGCCTTCACACTGGACCTTTCTCACTTGAGGCTACCCTCACACTAAGGAATTTTCACTCTTCTCAGAATGACACTAGTTCTAACAGGCTTCAGCCTACACACTCTCTTCAGGATGGCACTAGCTTTGGCCCACTGACTCTTAACAGGCTTCAACCTACTCACTCTCTTCAAGACGACACTAGCTTTGGTCCACTGACTCTAACAGGCTTTGTCCTACTCACTCTCTTCAGGACAACACTAGCTTTGGCCCACTGACTCTCACAGGCTTCAGCCTACTCATTCTCTTCAGGACAACGCTAGCTTTGGCCCACTGACTCTTAACAGGCTTCGGCCTACTAACTCTTTCAGTGCTTGACTCACACTTTTGGAATAAAAAATACCCAATTAATTTTTAATATTTCTTATACGAATCACTGTGGAAGATTGTTTTACTGAACCTAATACTATGTAGCCATGATTATTATTTAAAAATTACATCTTGTCCATCTCTAAAGATTTTAGGATATCATAGAATATAACACAGTTTAAAATAGTTTTAAATGTTAAGAATAATGTTTATGCATTATTCTTAAAAAAGCTTATTATACAATTTAAATAAATACATGAAAAGCTGAGTGCATACACACACACCCCAGCAGTGAAATTAACTATGCATGAATGGAAGATGTAAAAGAAGTATATACCAAAGTAGTAGCAATAATATAAAGGTCCTGGGACAGTGAATAATTAAGCATTTTCTTTGTGAATGTAATTTCCACAAACTATATAGTATAATTTAATTTAGCTAATTGTAGTCAAAATTCCTTTTGTGAGATTAACTTCAACTGTATCATGTTGAAAAGAATTTGGATTTTTAAAAATCTGAACTGTAATTTCATTGAATGGATGATGAATGGCACTTGTTTTGTATTGTGTATTGCAGGCAATGGTGGCCGGCCGAATCTAACAACAAAGCAAGATCTAAATAATAAGATAACTCCTGGTAATAATGGAAAGCGAAATGGACAGAAGATAATAAATGGTCCACAAGGAATAAAGTGGGTAGGGTGACCTTATTTTAAAATTAAAATACTTGTAATATTTCATTTCATATTATTTCATGTTGGAGAGCCTCTCAATCTACACGTTGCTTTTAGGTCGTAGATCTTGATAGAGGACTGGTGTTGAATATAGAAGGAAGGTACCTCCAAGATTCACAAGGAAAGCCTCTCAGAGTAAAATTAGGAGGAGATGGCCGTACTATTGTTGGTATGTTTATGTTTCTTTTTTGTATTGTTGGGTATATCAATCTAAGGATTCCTCATTTCAGAGACTGTATAAAGATGTTGTAAATCAATAATGTATAATGTTAATGAATAATGACTAAGTATGTTTATAGAAAAGCATGAGCTGAAGGTTCTTCAGGGAGAGAGGAATATGATTGTTTGTTGTTGACAGGTACATATCAGATGAAATTCTTAACCTCTTCCATCAGAAAAATTCAATAACATTAAGGTGGATGAATTTGTGCTTGCCTGTCACATAGATATTAAAGATGAGGAGCGTCTTAGGAAGTGTCAGACCTCATTTTGCATCACAGCCAAATTTAATTACACAAGGATTCAAATCAAGATAATTAAGGACTAAGAACATAAAATGTTATGCCTGGATGGATGAATCTGTCCATTCAGTTTTATCTTCCTTTCAGGATTTTTTTTTAAATGTCAAGTTTTTTTCCATTCCATATTTGAAAAAAAAATGTCAATTTGGAAAATTATTATCAAAAACAACAACAAAACAAATTGAACAAAATTGTCAGCCATCTCTAATTTTAACTACCATGACCCATTGGGTCAGTTTTTAAAATCCCAAATGAAATATATGTAATTATTTATTATACTTTGCCTTTCCTCATAAGTGGTCAGAATAGCTAACGGTCTACAGAAAAACATGTAGAAAATATATAACAATACAAGCACGACATGTTGGGAATGTAAAAAAAAAGAAGGCTCATTTTTCTGCTATGGCTGACTTCTCTGGTTGAAGTAGTCTGCAGTGCCTTTCATGTTCCTTGATGCGTGTCTGGGCGCTGCGTTTGGTGGTCCCTATGTAGACTTGTCCACAGCTGCATGGTATATGGTAGAAAAGTGTTCTTGCCATACATCAAGGGAACCACTGACCACATAGGGAAGCTGATGAGGAAACAACATACAAACAATCTACAAACCCACCAAGAAAATCCAACAAATGCTACGTTCAGCAAAGGACAAGAGGGATCCTCTTACCTCTGCAGGAGTCTACCGTATACCATGCAGCTGTGGACAAGTCTACATAGGGACCACCAAACGCAGCGCCCAGACACGCATCAAGGAACATGAAAGGCACTGCAGACTACTTCAACCAGAGAAGTCAGCCATAGCAGAGCACCTGATGAACCAGCCTGGACACAGCATATTATTTGAGGACACAGAAATGCTGGACCACACCAACAACCACCATGTCAGACTACACAGAGAAGCCATTGAAATCCACAAGCATGTGGACAATTTCAACAGAAAGGAAGAGACCATGAAAATGAACAAAATCTGGCTACCAGTATTAAAAAACTCTAAAATTACAACAGCAAAAAAACAGAGAGGAAACAACCAGGCACATCTTAACACCTCTCAGCAAGAGATTTTCCCAGGCTCAGGCAAGCCTTCAAATGCTAATGAAGGTGATCAGCTGAAACATTCACACCTAGCTGCAGCAGAGAGCTCCTTGCCCCACCCCAGCCATTCCACAGATATATAAACCCATTGTCCTAATTCCAACAGACCTCACTACCTCTGAGGATGCTTGCCATAGATGCAGGCAAAACGTCAGGAGAAATGCCTCTAGAACATGGCTCTATAGCCCAAAAAAACCCACAAGAACCTAGTTGTATCATACTTGTAGTAAGATTCCTCCTTTTTCTGCTTTGTTTCAGATTCTAAAGGAGCTCCAATAGTAAGTCCTGAAGGTTTGCCTTTGTTTGGACATGGGAGATTTAGCAAGCCTGTAGCCAATGCACAAGACAAACCAATCATAAGTCTTGGTGGGAAGCCATTGATAGGCCTTGAAATGGTGAAAAGAACAACAACTCCACCAATAACGACTACTACAACTACCACTACTACTGTCCCTACTACTACCACTCCTGAACCAACAACTACTGAGCCACCAACAGAGAAACCATTGCCTACCTGTCCCCCAGGAACCTATCCAGAGTATAATGACGTGGGGGATCTTGTATTAGGCCATAATGATCTTCCTCAATGCAATACTGAAGGTACCATATTTAAACTAGTTAAACAGTCACTGCTTTCTATTTGTTTATCAGAAATGTTATATTGTGAGGAAAAGGCATTTATATTTTTTTCAATGTTTCAGTTAGTAACAACGAAGATAAGAATCAGAAAACAGATGTCTCTAATTTGCTCTGACCATGATGTAAACAACAAATAGAGTCATACCCATGTTCTTTCACACAGCTGTATTTAGATTCTGTTGTGGCGAATTGTTGGACTGTTTGAACTAGCAAAGCTGGAGGACACACCAAGAACAGATTTAACAATTTAAGGAACAATACTGTATAGATTCATGTATACGTTGACCTCAAATATCAATTGAGAGTACATTGGGGGCCAAAACTATAGGTTTTGATGTGATCCATTGATAAATCGAGAACCTATAGGAAGCATCAACCCCCTTTTCCCCTCTAATGTTGTGCTGCTTCTGGTTTTCTGGAATGCCTTGTCAGGGAAAAGGTGGTGATTCTCAGATGCAGTGGAGAAAGCAGAGCAGGGTCACTGCTTCCTTTAGGTTCTCTATTTTTCCATGAGTCATATCAAAATCTATAATTATGGCTCAAAAATATGCCAATAACATATCACCTTTTGCCACTAACAGAAGAGACAGATTCCTGGGTAGTTTGCTCCCCATCTCGTTCTCCCATCTGCCCCCTTTCCTTTTTGTTACTTGTGTGTTGCACCGACCCCCCTACCCTATGTTTTTGGGGCAGAAAGAACTTCCTTCTTGAGAAGAAGACAGAAGGAGCAAAGTTTTCTCTCTTCTAAGTCACTCCTGAACTCTGTATACATTGATACCGAGAGCTCCCTTATTTGGTTTTCCATCCACCACCAGTGCAGAGACCATCAAATGAAGCCTAAGCCCTCCTCCAAAAGCAGTCTGAGTGCTTCTCATGAGTAACACCCAGATTAATCCCACATAGTTTCCTGTGTGGGGGGGGGGAGGGTTTGCTTTTATGTCCTCACAAAGTGTTCCATTGTTACCTTTTGTGCTGGCCAATGCTTAAAACAATCTTGTATAGGCTGTCATGGCATGGAATGCACATAATCTGTTCACCACTTCTATCATTCTAACTTGTCTAATTTTAACACCTTCACCATGGAATATCACAACATGAAATTGCTACCTGTATTTAGCAATGGGATAAAATACTTTCCAGCTTTATTTACAAAAATGACTACTAAATCTTCCATTGAGTGACAAGAATGGAATTAGTTATTTAAGGCACCAAAGAAGAGCCTTGAATAAAAAGGATTTGGCAGCGGAAAATGAATTTGAAAGAAGTCGAATTTCAGCGAGGAAAATTAGAGCCAGGAGTTTCCTGCTTACAAAACTGTACTAGGTGAGTAGTCTGTGTTTAATTTTTACGTGTAAATTCTGAGTGGAACTACTATTGTTTACTAATGCTATTAACTGTGAAGACAGTGATTTCTTTTGCTTTTAAAACATGCAAATCTCTATGTAATGTGGCACTGTAGGACTTTCCTAGAGAGCAGCAAGAAAAACTATACCATGCAACATTTAACAGGTGATATCTGGGACTCATGTGGCCAAACAACTACAGACCATTTTCAAAATGGGAAAAGTTGTTAATGAGGAAGCACACACAAGTTAGGGCGGATTGCAGCAGGGTTTTTTTGGCTGAAGTCAACTGGAAAGGGAAGACTCAATTCTCATATCTCCTCTCTTTTATTGGGTTAATTGAAGTCAGTTTGAAATCAGCACCAGTGCAAGTAAGCTAAGGATAAAGGGGGGAAGAGGGGGAGAGAGAAAATGGGACATTTTCAAAGCCACTGTAAAAGTGGTATAGCAGAAAATTAATCAGGATTATCCCTCCTAAAATAATTTGCAGATATGGGGAATTAGGAAGAGGGGCTGACCAAGGGCAAGATGGATGGATGGCATCCTTGAAGTGACTGGACTGACTTTGAAGGAGCTGGGGGTGGTGACGGCCGACAGGGAGCTCTGGCGTGGGCTGGTCCATGAGGTCATGAAGAGTTGGAGACGACTGAACGAGTGAACAGCAACAAATGGGGAACTAGCCTTTTCCAGGGAGTTATCTGTCCATGTATTTCTCTGGATTACAAATATTATTGTATTGTCGAAGGCTTTCATGGCCAGAATCACTGGGTTGCTGTGAGTTTTCTGGGCTGCATGGCCATTTTCCAGAAGCATTCTCTTCTGATGTTTTGCCCACATCTATGGCAGACATCCTCAGAGGTTGCGATGTCTGTTGGAAACTAGGCAAGTGAGGTTAATTTATCTGTGGAATGTCTAGGGTGGGTTCTCTGTGTAGTCTGACATGTTACACAATGGCTTCTTTATGTATTCTGACACGGTAGTTGTTAGAGTGGTCCAGCATTTCTGTGTTCTCATTTAAATCCATAAGCATGTAGACAATTTCAACAAAAAGGAGGAAAACATGAAAATGAACAAAATCTGGCTACCAGTATTTTAAAAAAACCTCTAAAATCAGGACTGTAAATAAAGAGCAACACTAAAAAGAGAGGAATTTCAGACAAGAATCAATAAGGGCCCGCTAACACCTCCCAACAAAGGATTCCCCCAGGCAGCAACCAGCCAGGCTTTGAAGCTAAAGGGCCATTTTTCATGTTAGGAAAAGTTCCGGTTTCCGGTTTGATGGTTGGCAGCCAAAAACGCTGCGCTGCTCAGCCAAATTCCAATCTGGAGGAATCCTGAGCCTCCCCCCCGCCTACCATCCTCAAACTGAGGGGAGAGAGGAACCCCAAGCCTCAGGCTCCCGATAGAGGGGTGGAGAGCCAGGAAGACCCAGAGAAGACGGAGGAAAGGCGTAGAAGGTGAGGGAAAACGCCCGCCGCCATTTTATCGCGGCCGGCCTACCTCACAACCGCCGACCGGCTGCTGGCTGGACATTGCCGCATTGCCGCCAGGACCTGGGCTTGGCTGGCTTAGCTGGCTGGCCGGACCACCACCGCTACTGCCTGGCCTCCGCCGCCGCTGCCGGGGAGGAGACCATCGTTGGGGCCGCTGTTGCTGCCGGGCCGCCGCTGCCGTCGCCATCGCCGAAAGGGGAGGCCGAGTGCCGACGCCGACGCCGCCGAGGGGCCGAGGAGGCCAACCCATCGCCGTTGTTGCTGCCAGGCCGCCGCCGCCACCGAAGGGGAGGCCGAGCGCCGAGGCAGACGCCGCCGAGGAGGCCGAGGAGGCCAAGCCATCGCCGCGGGGCCGGTACCACCTTCAGGGCTGCGGAGACCCCCAGGCGAGCCCGCCCCCCGCTGGCATAGAGGCCAGGATCCCGTGGGGGCCGCTTTGGACAAGACCACCGTCGCCGCTGCGGGGGCCCTCACTGAAGCCGCCGCCGCCGTTAAAGGGGCCTAGCTGCCGCCGGGGGCCGTCGCCGCCATAGAGGCCCGAACCATCTCGAAGGCCGCTATTGCCGCTCCGAGAGAGACCGTCGCAGCCGCTGCAGGGGCTGAACCACTGCCGGGATCATCTGAGCGGCCGGCTCGCCCCCTTCCGGGGCGAAGTGGTGAGGCTGAGGAGCGAAGAGGCTCTGAGGACCCCTTCCACCGTGGTCCCAGCCTGACTGGGCATCTGCCCCCCTCAAGCTGTTGGGCTTCTGCCCCCTCAGGCTCCTGCTGAGCGGGCTGTTACATCATAGGAGCTCACAGGAGTCAGTGGAGCTGGGCTCTGGCCCACAACCTTTTCCATCATTGGGCCCACCAACACTGTGTAGACTTTTGTGTTGACCCTCTCGGTGTTGATCCTCCTGTGCTGATGGGTATTGTGTAGATCAACTGTCAGACCAACTGCGCTGACCACTACCGTGTCGACACCTCCGGAAACCCATCCGCTATTTGACATCAATCGTCCAGTTTACATCCGAATCATAACGATTTGCCAATTGTCAATCTTTGAGTATCGTGTTTACATATTGTGAATATCGCATGTTATAGCTCCTCCATACTTTGCTGCTAATGTGGGAATAAGATCATTACATAGCACTTTAAAGGCGCCTGCCTCCATTGCCGACTGAGTTGCACTTTACCTTCCCGTGCCCTCCTGCTGCACTTTAGTAACATTGAGGGCTAAGTTTTTGACTTATTGCACTTTAATATTCTGATGCACTTTAAAACCTGCACATTAAGAACTATTCTTGTAGCCGTGGAATTTGCTACTGTTATGACTGCTGCACGTAAGGCCCCAGCACTCTAGGGACCTCCATGTTTTCCGGCTGAAGGCTTATTACTTGTTCTTACCATCCACCGAAGTGTGTTGTTTCCACCCATGTGGTCCCCTACCCTCCTATGTATTCTGTCTCTGACACTATTGACTGGTGGAAGGAACGGGGGAGGAGGAGGGCTGGAGCCGGTGAAGAACAATGAGGAGGGGAGGGGGGATAAAGGAGACCAAAACAACTGGCAAGAAAAAACGCCAACATCTCAAACATCTGATGGAATAGAGATCAAGACCCGGGTCATGAACTGCGGCATGGAGGAAGGGAGGTGTTCCGCTAGCCTAGGGGCCCCCATAGAGGTCGTGGTGGGAAGGAGGAGATGCGGGAAAAGGAGACCTCAAATTCGGCCTAATTCGGACCATTTATCCAAAACATTAACAATTCCAAATCGGTCTCCTAAGGTAAATTGGTGTAACCAGGTGAGCGGACCCTCTGGACTGAAGGTGGTGCTGTTGAACGCCAGATCTGTCAACGGAAAAACGACCTGGATCCAGGACCTAATCCTGGACGAGCGGGCAGATCTGGCGTGCATCACGGAGACCTGGTTGGATGAAGCTGGAGGAGTAAATCTGACCCAGCTTTGTCCTCCGGGCTTCTCCGTACAGCACCAACCGAGATCCGGAGGGCGGGGAGGCGGGGTCGCAGTGGTCTACAGGAATTCCATCCATCTGACCAGGTACCCCATCCCGCAGACCGCAAATTTTGAAAGCGTCTACCTGAGGGTGGGTGACCGGGACAGCATAGGGATTCTAGTAGTGTAC